AAAGATCTAGATTCAAACAATGATTCTTATACAAACTAGCAGGGTAACCTAGTATAAGTTACTTAAACTCTCTGAGCCTCACTTTCTCCCATCTGTAAGACTGGAATAGCTGTCTCATAGAGTGACTATGAAAAGTAAATAAAATAATGTCTGTAAATGGCCCTACTAATACAGTCCTTGACAAAGTAGGCTACTCAGCAAAGGGTATCAGAGAGACAGGTAAAGGAGTAGGTAAAAGCAAGGTATTTGGAATCAGACTGCCTGGGTTTATTTACTTAAAATTTATTTTTTAAAGACAGGCTCTCGCTATGTTGCCCAGGCTGGAGCCACTGCACTCTAGAAGTCTGGGACTCAAGTGATCTTCCTGCCTCAGCCTCCTGAGTAGCTGAGACTACAGGTACAGGCCACCACACTCTGCGACTGCCTGGATTTAATCCCAGATCTTCCACTTCCTAGCTGCATGGTTTCTGTAAATCACTTAACCCATCTGTCTTGGTTTCTTCAATTGTTAATCAAATGATACTGGTATCTTCCTCAGACATTGCTGTGAGGACACAATCAGATAATGTGCAGAATGATGGGTAACCTCGGTAAAATGAGTCATTTATGGAAATGGGAAAACCAGAGCATGATGGCCTGGAAGCCAAGGGAGACAGTGTTTCAAGAAGGGAGGATATGGTTAGGAACCAAAGTTTTAGTTATTAAAGAAAAGACATACAAATATATAAAATCAAAGAAGTTGGCCAGGTGTGGTGGCTCATGCCTGTAATCCTGGCACCTTGGGAGGCCAAGGCAGGAGGATCACTTGAGGCCAGGAGTTCAAGACCAGCCTGGGCAACATAGTGAGATCGTGTCTCTACAAAAAATTTTTTTAAAAAATCAAATAAGTTAAATAAAAACATTATAATCCTAAATGTGAATTGAAAATAACTAGGCGATGACAAACCCAGTAGCAATAAGTATGCCAGTGCTCAGGCTGTGATCTCTAAGTATCGTTAATCAAAGGAACCAGGTATCCTTGGAGAAATGAGAGTTCAAATATGGGGCAGAAAATACACAAGATCAGCTTGCAACATCTTGTTAAACGAGAAAGCAAGCCTTCAAAAGACTAAAGTGGTCATGTCAGAGACTTGGGGATAAATTTCAAAAGGTTCTCACTGGTCCAAGATGAAAAAATTTAAGTGTCAATATGAATAATAATTACAATGGACTAAAACAAATGAACTACATTTTAAGTTCAGTTTAACAGAAACAAGAAAGTAATTGGTCACCTTTGAAGAACACTATGAGACCAATTTGTTTTAAAAACTGATAAAGGGAAAGGAATATTTATCCTGCTTTTCCTGTATGGAGCTATACTTCAGGATAACCAAATAACTGAAGAAGGGAAATCTATTTGTATAGTTTTCCAGCTAATAAATGAAGGAATGGTAGGAATCTAATAACAACATTTTGCAGGCTTTAGGGATCTAGGCACTGATCATCAATAGCTACTAACATCACAAAGAGACAACCAGACATCGCATGCCACATCATCTGTGAAGAGTCTTCTACCCTTCTCCGAAACCTAGCACGAGTGCCAAAGTCCCAGCTGTCACCTTCTCCTTTAATACTGAAAAATAATGACAAGGCCAGGTTCTGAGGCAGCTTGATACTGATTTTGATATACAATTTTATTCTGTGCAAGTTAAACTAGGCAGCCAATAGAGTGCGAGGAACTTGCCACTTTCTGCTTTTGGTAGTAAGTAGATAGCAAATTTTATGCTACTGTTCAGTTCAGCACTGTCATGTTCAGACATTTTCTGCTATCCCCCAAAGCACTTGTTGCTGGAAATCTGTTTGAATGCCATTCTTCTCCTGTACAACTGCTACTTGCTTTTTGATCTACACTAAAGGGCAGAAGACCCTGTGTACTACGCATAGTCTCTTTTTCATCATAAAAATTTACATGGCTTGCCTATACAAGAATTTCTTTTTTATTTATTTATTTTTTTGAGACTAGGTCTTGCTCTGTTGCTCAGGCAAGAGTACAGTGGTGTCATCATAGCGCAGTGTAAACTCAAACTCCTGGGCTCAATCAATCCTCTTGCCTCAGCCTCTCAGGTAGCTAGGACTACAGATACATGCCACTACACCTGGCTAATTTTATTTTTTTTTTTGTAGAGACGGGGTCTCACCATTGCCCAGGCTGGTCTAGAACTCTTAGCCTCAACTTATTCTCCCGCCCTGGCCTCCCAAAGTGCTAGGATTATAGGCATGAGCCACCGCACCCAGCCCACACAGGAATGTCTAATCTCTAAGGCAGCAGTGGCGGGGGTCAATTCACCTATTTTCATAGGCTCAAAACACAGGTAGAGATTTAAGCAAGTTGATAGATTTGCTGGTAGAAAGATACGGAAGTTCTCTTTTAACTGATTCAATGTTCTTAGAATATAAAGGAAGGCCATATGCAAGGTGTAAGGATGGGAAAGGGGAGTGGTTAGAGGTTTGCAGAAGTAAGCTATGAAATAATCATCTTGCAGACTGGTGCTTGGATTTAATGAGATAACATAGTGGGAACATCAGGCAGCACCAAGGGCTCCACTGATATTTGTGATAATAAATTTAAAGTAAACCAATCATCATATTTTATGGTATCCTTTAGTCATGTTCACCTGTGCCGGTGTAGGAATGGACAAAGCCAAGCTTTGGTTTTAACCAGGACCAAGATTCTTGCGATTAAAGTATGGTGGAGGGAATGAGGGGAAAAGAAATTGAGAAATGCAACAGAGTGATTATAATGATGGATCATAAAAAACAAGCAGGGTAAGAAAGGAAGTATGGATATGAGGGGGGTGTTTGGGCCCCCTGGTAGGGTTTAAAAATTTGTTGGACCCAGACGCGGTGGTGTGTGCCTATAATTCTAGCTATTCAGGAGACTGAGGCAGGAGGATTACTTGATCCCAGGAGACTAGCCTGGGCAACATAGTGAGACTCTGTTAAAAAAAAAAAAGGAACTGGGAGAAT